AGGTCACTGGTGCTTTGGTAGATATGAGAGGTGCTGATGATGATCATGACTGACTGTACAGTTGGTATTATGTTTTACAATGGAACATTTGGTCATTTAGGTATTTGGACCATGGGCGTAGCTTGTGGGGGGGCCAGGGGGGCCTGGCCCCCCCATAGCGATTAAAGAATTTTACTAAATATTTATTTATAAAGTTTTTTCTATGAAGTAAAAATGCATATAATGTAGTTAATAATGCATGTAAAAGTTAATACATTTAAAATTGTTATTGAAAGTAAATTAATAAATCAAAACAAACTTAACGTCTCCCTCAATCTCATTTGCGTAAGAATTGTCACGTGACGAATCTGCATTTTGGTGGATAATAGACTTAACGGTAATGCTTGCCTGTTGTGTGGAATAAAATGATGTTCCGCGTTTTTAACAACATACACGAACTGCAGAGAAATCTGGAGACAACGAAAAACTCAGATGAAGATATTAATGCCATGCTTGATGATTCCGGACCCGGACAATTAGATAAAGGTGATCCACAGGACACAGCCGGTTTAGCCGCACACTACTTTTATGCCGACCATTTACATCCAAATGTTATTTAATTTTCACAGAACACAACCTTTAAATAGATTTTAGAATATAAACTGTTTATCGTCTATTCAGTAAGACTAAATAAAAAGTGTGCGCCTCATTGTGCATTAACTTGAATCAAGCCCAACAAATGTCTGTTTTAAAAACTGGATGAGTAATTCACTCCTTGATTTGCTTAATAAAAGCCTCCTTTGAGATCGTTTTGACAGACATGTTTATTGTGCATTTTAAACGTGTTTATTGCTAAGTTTAGTGTGGCAAAATAGAAGCGCAGCTGTAATTCGTGGGCAATGTATGTGGTTACCATGACAACCTCACGCACTTGCCACTGCTCTATGTGAATGTGAATATGTAGATTTACTATAGCAAAACTAAAATGTGTTTAAAAGTACGTCTGACCAAATCCACCGGTTCGGTTTGGCCCCCCCAAGCTCAAACGTCAAGCTACGCCTATGATTTGGACTTGTAATAACTGGATGACTTTTATGGAATTGATAGGTTTGCTTTGGTTTTTGAAACAGAAGGATGACTAAAAGAGTTTGTTTAATGTCCTCAGTGACTCCATGGTATGTTTGCGATGCACTGTAATTTCATTCTATGAAATAATATATTTAAAATACATTTGTATGATTTAAAAAATTGCAATTAGACAAATAATATGCTTTAGTCTTAGAGAAATGCATTGTGGCGTATACATTTTCTTCTGACCCTAACATTTCTGACTCCAACGCTTCTTAAAGCTTTCAAGCTAGATCAACCAAACTTGGCACAAACATTTGGGTTTGCCTGACTCATGCTGCTGTATCTTTTCTAACTAATCCAACTCATGAAATTCCAGTAGCGGACTTCCAAATAGGCCAAAATTCCCTTAGACTTACATTGACAAATGGAACTCCAAGTGCCAAACATTTTTCATGTAAACTTGCTCTAAATTACACCTATCAAGATGTTAGTATGTTAAAATGTAATATAGCAATACTTTGCTAGCAACATGCTAGCAGTGCCTATCAAGATTCTAAAACATGCTAGCAACGTGGTAAAATGACTTTAAAACTTAAAAACCTTAGGATTTTCTCAAGCCAACATTAAAGTTTGTCTACAAACATTATCATCTAGTTAATTTTAATATATGTTGGGATATAATTATACAGTACATTTAGAAAGGTATCAAGTTTAATTTCCTTGTGCTTAAGCTCATGAAACTACAAGATGTTTCTTGGAAAGATCATTTACTATTGATATTTCTACAAACACCAACTTGTCAATTATTGTTTTCTATAAAAAAATCATGGTAACAGGGTTGAAATGTTTGAAATATAAGACAAAGATTATATTAGAAACGAGACTTTGTCTCTGAAGAGTTCACTTTTAAAAGGTTGAAATAATTTGTTAATTTGTTGATGATAACATGGTTGACATATAGCTTGGAGAAACATCTCCCAGTCTTTTTAATTACACATTATGTAATTGAAGACTAACGTTTTCAGAGTTCTTTGCACCGGATATTTTAGAAATATACATTTTCAGTATTTTGTTGGGTGAAAAATTGATGCAAAATACACAGAAGTACAACCTCTTGAACGAACTGTACTTCTGTTTCTCATAGGCATGTGAAATAAAACATGGCGTCTATACTCTGACAATGAGGAATAGTGTTTAGTTAACAAAAACAACAATATAAGACTTACAAGAGCGTACAAGAGGTTCTTTCCTTTCCATGTGTTATGCATTAGTTTTCATCTGTCTGTCTGAGCTGACTGAACTATTATGAATTACACACTGCATGCATCCACACACAGACATAAATATTCTTATGCCTCTTTGATGTAATGACAGACTTGAATAGGATTATAGGAGATATTTGAAACATTTTAAAATACCCTTCATTGAATAATCTACTTGTCGTGAAACTATGGAGCAGCCGCCCACATTCAGCTGTTGAAGGATTACTGTTCTCTCACAATCACTTCACATTAGACACACTGTATCAGGAAAAAAGGTTCGACCAAACAGGAGTATTTTACTTTTATAGGCAGCAACAGGAAGCACTTACCACAAATAACTCATTATGTTTCTAAAGTAAATCCAGTTTTCTTTACATAAAGAATTATAAGAACTGTTGTATATAATACAGTTAGTATAGCATTAAATGTACCTAGTTTTGAGAAATTTACTGACTGTAACTTTACACTGTTAACAAAGATATTTTTAAGAAAAAAAGTTAAACATGTTTTTCTTTGATCTATGAGAAATATTTTATCAATTCATTAATAACTACTAACCAACAATCGCAGCTTTGTTAATATTTTTTATTTAATTGTTTATTTAATGTCTAGCGACCTTAGTCAGTTTAGTGCCATATTTAATATTTTGACAGTGATGAAAATGAGGCTGTGTGGGTGGGATAAAAGTACAGTACATTCAATGGATTGTACTGTTATACTGTTTTACTGGAGGAGGAAAAACTCATACAAAACGCATAAAACATCATATAACATTTCATTTAACTTCCTGACACTATTTTCTAAAGGGTTAAGCTCTTCCTTTCACTGGTCTTTTGTTGGAAAAGAAAAAGTAAGTTTTTTCTTACTTTATTTTGTACCTCATTTGTGGAGTGCCAATACATGAAGCAAAAATAAAAAATTTTTGCATTTAAAAGAGCTTAAAATATAATGGGAAAATTGTGATAAAAATGCAAAGGAGAGAAGGAGAGAGGAAGTGTGGATCTAGCACCTGTTGGCCAGGGCCCCTCGCTAAGCTTTACATGGGAATGTTAACGTCACCGTCACCTTTTTAGGTCTGGGAATGAGAACACACACATAGACTCCCGCACACTCAGCATGCAGCGGGGTGTTTTCAATTGGCAAGTTTCTAGAGTTGATCACAAGAGTTGAGAGTAATCCAGACTCCATTCAAGTAAACTGCTAAAGCGTCTTTCGTTCATGTGAGAGGCAGTGGAATCTGGCCAACAGCTGCTCTCTACAGACATATCTATAGGGTCATTGTATTGGAGAGCATGGCAGAACTTGGAGAAGAGAATAGGACAGACCTGCCTGGGGAAGGTAAGGGCTCCGTGACGCTGATAGACGTGATAAAACAAGGTTGCAATGACAGGGTTGAATGTTCGCTGAATAAAACAGGATTTCTTGATTTTCTTGTTGACTTACTTTGAGATTGTGTGTACAAGTGTGTGTGTGTATGTATAGCTTAGCAGTTATAAATAGACCTGATAGATTGCTGTCCTGTGACACTAAGCGTACAGGGGTGGAGGATGGGTTTCAGGATTTCTCAACCTTACACTCTTACACTTTGGGAGATTTATTGACCTTTTAATGAGCATCTATGGTAAACAACAGAGCACTGTGCGAAAGTGAATGTTAGCCTACTGTTTCTCACCTTATATATGAAGTAAACAATGAATCCCAATCGGGCCATATCTCAACTCGTTATTGAGGAAATCTGCCCATGTTAGGTACAAAGCTACAAACATCTGTGTCCCAGCTTCACACCGGAGGGCAAGACATCAGAGTGGCAGGTCATTACCAACAGTAGTTTTGCTGACACAGTATTTTTCTCCTCAGCACTTTTGTGATTCTTTTAGCGCTCATGACACTAACTAAATATGACTGAAGGTTTTTGTCTTACTTTAGCATTCAATTTTATTCACTTCTAAGAAAGTGTATCTACCGTTTCAAATGATGTCACATTTGATTGCTCTGCTAGCTGTTAGGACATGTTTGCTTCCTTCAGCTTTTGGAAACTTTAGCTTGAGGATGATCAACTTGACATCTTCATTTAATAAATCTTGTCCCGACAGCTCCATCTGAGAATCATCTGTCTGTCATCTGTAAACGTTTATTTAGCGTGTGTGTGTATGTACATGTATTGATTTTCGTAAAAACCAGTGCAAATGTGGTCGACAAGGAAACATTCTCATATTTTCCAACTTTTCTCTAATCATTCCAAGGAGAAAAAAACTGTGTCAGCATTTTTCTCCTCAGCACTTTTGTGATTCTTTTAGCGCTCATGACACTAACTAAATATGACTGAAGGTTTTTGTCTTACTTTAGCATTCAATTTTATTCACTTCTAAGAAAGTGTATCTACCGTTTCAAATGATGTCACATTTGATTGCTCTGCTAGCTATGTTAGGACATGTTTGCTTCCTTCAGCTTTTGGAAACTTTAGCTTGAGGATGATCAACTTGACATCTTCATTGAATAAATCTTGTCCCGACAGCTCCATCTGAGAATCATCTGTCTGTCATCTGTAAACGTTTATTTAGCGTGTGTGTGTATGTACATGTATTGATTTTCGTAAAAACCAGTGCAAATGTGGTCGACAAGGAAACATTCTCATATTTTCCAACTTTTCTCTAATCATTCCATTGCATCTCTGTCTTTTTTTCCTAGAACCTCTGAAGGGAAATCTAAAGGTGACTTCCAGTGAAGACGCTGAGCACCTGGCCCGTAAACATCAGGTTGTTTCCGCTAACAGCTCTGGTAGCCGCTGTGAGGCCAAATCCAGCCGCGCAGGGGTCCCACGAAGACACACGGTGGGCGGAGCGCGCAGCTCACAGGAGATCCTGGCCATGCAGCCCTCAGATATGGATAAAAAACGAGAGGCCTTTTTGGAACATCTGAAGCAGAAGTACCCACACCACGCCTCTGCCATCATGGGCCATCAGGAGAGACTCCGAGAACAGGTTAAGACCACTCACTGTCAATACTATCTGTTGTGCCAATGTCAGCTCCAGAAGTCCAGAATCTGTCCACTAATGTATTTGAACTAGGGATATGAAGCAGATTTGTGGAAATAGGTGTCTTTAGCATCATAAACAAAGCTGAATGACAGCCCTGGGCTAAATCTCTTTATAATAGTGGGGTATCACATACATGTCATATTATAGCCACTTATGCAATACTTCCTACAGAAACTTGAAGGCGTATAAAAACACCCACTCTAACATGCATTTATATTATAATCAAGAAAAGATGTGATTGTTGTTGGCAGTCAAATGACATTTCTGCTTTATATATATATATATATATATATATATGTTAATGTCAGATTTGATAGGGTCTTTGCTAAATGATAAAAATGTTTCCTGGGACCTGGTATATAAATATCAGAGTTTTTTATTTATTTTTTGGTATGTGTATGCATGTGTTTTTGTATTCACTGCCATTACTTTGTCTCACTGATGGTCATAAATATAGCATAAACGTCACATGACTGAAACAGATATAGTAAAATAAGCAAACTATAAAAATGCAATACAAATATGCCATGTTGCAATACCGGGAAAAGAAGTACAAATGTTTATATGATCATTAACCAGTGGCAGAATGGTTTAAGGAGACTGCAGAAGTTTTATTGCCTGGAGGAAACATTAAAACAGGTTATGTATCTGGCATTAAATGGTTGCAATGATTGCACTGAACCATGCAAAATTATAGTAAGAACCACTAGACTTATCGCATTGCAGTGTCCCGTGTGTATGTGTTATCTATTCATCTTCAGTGGGTCAGCCAAAGGTTGCCCACAGGTTTTCTTTGTTCCGGATCTTAAGGACTGAGTTATCTGGTGGCTGTAAATATCAGATAGAGGCCATATAGTGAAGAAAAGAAGTAGTGAAAATAAAAGAAACTTTTTATCTGGTCTGCTTTCTTGAAAAAACGTCAGTGAACAATGAGCAGTTTCTGCAGTGAATGACGCATCTGGCAATATGAAACTATATTCAGTGTGTGAATATGAGACATTGCTGTCCTTACGCTGCACATTCTTCAGTTATGACCACAGGGATCACCTCTCGGTTGACTCATAATATTAGCTCCATTCATTATATGCTAAATTATTTTTATATTAAAAAGCTGGATAGTTTTCTTTCTCACTGCGACCCCATAACCAACCAAACTCTAGAGTTGCAGAGTACTTAAAAAGGTTGTAAACAGAATGACCTCTCAGTCCGAACAGGTGGAGGTTTGTTTTATATTTTTCCCCTTTGGCCGAAAGAATCAATTTTCAGTGCTTGTGCCCAGCCGATGTTGCCTGAGGTGAGAACTGAAGTCTGTGCCATATATCATAATGACACATTTTTGCTGTCAGGCCATGCCCTAAAATTTCCATTTTCTGTTCAGTTTCACACTCAAGTCAGAATGTTTAAGAAAAATGACAAAGTTTAGCACTGACCAGATCTTAAAGTACACTACTGCTCAAAGGTTTGGGATAGTTCGGATTTTTTACAGAAGGCTCTTATGCTCACCAGAGCTGCTTTTATTTGATTAAATATTGTAGCAACTATAATGTTGTGAAATATTATTACAATTTGAAATGAACGTTTTCTATTTTAATATATTTAAAAATGTAATTTATACCTGTGATGGTATGTGCAGTCATTACTCCAGACTTCAATGTCTCAGATCCCTCTGATTTGCTGCTTAATTTTTATTGGTCGCCCACTCAATTATTAATACTAGTTTTTATTATTATCAATGTTAATATTGCTGCTTATTATTTTTGTGGAAATCATCATACCTCATTACTTTGCTCTCACTTTCGATCAATATAATGTCCCTTTTTAATTTACTTACTCCAAGCTCCTGAATGGTAGCGTTTCAGTTTCCATGAAAAAGCACAACTGTTTTCAACATTGATAATAATAAGCAGCAAATAAGCATATTAGAATGATTTCTGAAGGAACATGTGACACTAAAGACTGGAATAACAGCTGCTGAAAAGTCAGCTTTGCCATCACAGGATTAAATTACATTTTGAAATATATTAAAATAGAAAATGGTTATTTAAATTGTAATAATATTTCACAGTATCACAATTTACTGTATTTTTGATCAAATATTTGATTAAAAATACAGTAAACTCTAATATTGTGAAATATTTTTTTGTGAAATAGTTTCCTATCTTAATATATTTGGTCTTGGTGCACATAAGAGACATCTTTCAAAACCATTAAAAAAAATTAAATATCCCAAACCCTTGACCGGTAGTGTGTACATTTCTGGTTTAATGTGACAAAAGTTTTCTTTATAGCACAACACTGGATAATTTATACATAACACTTTTAGATGTATCATTTTGTGATATTAAGATTGTGAGAACAACATGCTTTCTGTAAAATGCTATCTTTCGCTCTGTCGTTCTCTTTTCACTCGTTTTTGCCCATACTCATCCACTCAGTGGGCCTGTGGAATGTTATTTGGATTGCCCCAGGGGGTATTAAAGAGAAAAGGTGGGGGTAGGGGCCAAACGCCTCCCCACAGCGGGTGAGTGAGGGAGTGTTGCGTGTGTTTACTCTGATTGAAAACAAAAGGCCTCTCACCTGCTCTTAAAGACCTACACAGCAGAACAATGGAGGTGATTGACAGCTTCTCAAGAATGAGAGTACTTGGCTGCAGAATGTGAGTGTGTGTGTAAGAGTTTGTAACAGTGTAGGTGGGTTTACACACCGAGAAAGACAGACAGAGAGAGAGAGAGAGGAATTTTGATTGGTTTAGTGCCCAGTCATCCATACACTTGACTAACCTTTTTTTTTAATCTTATTTGTATGGTCAATCATTTGCTTTTACAATACGTAACACAGACCTATTATTAACAAATAATTGCACAAACAGTATAAAAGCATATCTTGTTTTAAAGGTGGGGCTGGTGACTATCTTTAACTGTTCAGTCCTGCATTAATCAGGGCATAATATATTGAATGTGTGCCATATGAGCTGTTATGAATGTTTCTGTCTTTATTTTGTATGGGTGTTCTGTAGCTGGCACATTGCTGATCACTGAACACTATCAGCAGGAAAGCGCTGAATCGCACAACAACACGAGGAGTTTAGCATTTAGTTTAGCTGTGTAAGCCTTTATATATATATATATATATATATATATGTTAATGTCAGATTTGATAGGGTCTTTGCTAAATGATAAAAATGTTTCCTGGGACCTGGTATATAAATATCAGAGTTTTTTATTTATTTTTTGGTATGTGTATGCATGTGTTTTTGTATTCACTGCCATTACTTTGTCTCACTGATGGTCATAAATATAGCATAAACGTCACATGACTGAAACAGATATAGTAAAATAAGCAAACTATAAAAATGCAATACAAATATGCCATGTTGCAATACCGGGAAAAGAAGTACAAATGTTTATATGATCATTAACCAGTGGCAGAATGGTTTAAGGAGACTGCAGAAGTTTTATTGCCTGGAGGAAACATTAAAACAGGTTATGTATCTGGCATTAAATGGTTGCAATGATTGCACTGAACCATGCAAAATTATAGTAAGAACCACTAGACTTATCGCATTGCAGTGTCCCGTGTGTATGTGTTATCTATTCATCTTCAGTGGGTCAGCCAAAGGTTGCCCACAGGTTTTCTTTGTTCCGGATCTTAAGGACTGAGTTATCTGGTGGCTGTAAATATCAGATAGAGGCCATATAGTGAAGAAAAGAAGTAGTGAAAATAAAAGAAACTTTTTATCTGGTCTGCTTTCTTGAAAAAACGTCAGTGAACAATGAGCAGTTTCTGCAGTGAATGACGCATCTGGCAATATGAAACTATATTCAGTGTGTGAATATGAGACATTGCTGTCCTTACGCTGCACATTCTTCAGTTATGACCACAGGGATCACCTCTCGGTTGACTCATAATATTAGCTCCATTCATTATATGCTAAATTATTTTTATATTAAAAAGCTGGATAGTTTTCTTTCTCACTGCGACCCCATAACCAACCAAACTCTAGAGTTGCAGAGTACTTAAAAAGGTTGTAAACAGAATGACCTCTCAGTCCGAACAGGTGGAGGTTTGTTTTATATTTTTCCCCTTTGGCCGAAAGAATCAATTTTCAGTGCTTGTGCCCAGCCGATGTTGCCTGAGGTGAGAACTGAAGTCTGTGCCATATATCATAATGACACATTTTTGCTGTCAGGCCATGCCCTAAAATTTCCATTTTCTGTTCAGTTTCACACTCAAGTCAGAATGTTTAAGAAAAATGACAAAGTTTAGCACTGACCAGATCTTAAAGTACACTACTGCTCAAAGGTTTGGGATAGTTCGGATTTTTTACAGAAGGCTCTTATGCTCACCAGAGCTGCTTTTATTTGATTAAATATTGTAGCAACTATAATGTTGTGAAATATTATTACAATTTGAAATGAACGTTTTCTATTTTAATATATTTAAAAATGTAATTTATACCTGTGATGGTATGTGCAGTCATTACTCCAGACTTCAATGTCTCAGATCCCTCTGATTTGCTGCTTAATTTTTATTGGTCGCCCACTCAATTATTAATACTAGTTTTTATTATTATCAATGTTAATATTGCTGCTTATTATTTTTGTGGAAATCATCATACCTCATTACTTTGCTCTCACTTTCGATCAATATAATGTCCCTTTTTAATTTACTTACTCCAAGCTCCTGAATGGTAGCGTTTCAGTTTCCATGAAAAAGCACAACTGTTTTCAACATTGATAATAATAAGCAGCAAATAAGCATATTAGAATGATTTCTGAAGGAACATGTGACACTAAAGACTGGAATAACAGCTGCTGAAAAGTCAGCTTTGCCATCACAGGATTAAATTACATTTTGAAATATATTAAAATAGAAAATGGTTATTTAAATTGTAATAATATTTCACAGTATCACAATTTACTGTATTTTTGATCAAATATTTG